GCAAGGTTTGGATGGCTGACTCGCATATGTGTGTCCATGGACACATAACATGTCTTTTTTTTAACACAGTACAGATGAAAGCGCTCATACGTACGCGCATACACTCACCTCTATGAACGCACACACGCACACCCTACCTCTATGAGCACCTTCGAGAGATTGAGCCGGCATATCATCTTGAGACTTACGAAGTCACCATAGACGCCTCATCATCGACGAGAACATCGTCCCACTGAAAGCGCATCGCCGAAAATACTAAAATAAGTCTAAGAATAATGTGAGCACCAGGATTTGAACCCTGATGAGCTAGGGTATCACTGTCCATCCAGCCACTGAAAGCGCATCACCGAAAATCTTAAAATAAATCTAAAAATAATGTGAGCATCAATAATTAAATCCAGGTGAGCTAGGGGTATCACTGTACCTCGAGCCATGGATCGCATAGGGTGTCTTTTTTAGGGCAAGCTCGTTGGAGATGCCCTCGGGTGCACATAACAACTTTGGGTCCCTCTCCTCCTTTCCCCTCAAAGCGAGAGCTCCGTATCGCCGGCCTCCCCCTCCGATCCAATCCCAAAGATACCTTTTGCCCTCTTCTCTTGCGCGGCCCTTTCGCTACCATGGCGGCGGAGGGGGAGGACAAGAAGGATGCTAATTCCGTTGGAGGCGGCGGCGGCGAGAACACCCTGGAGTCGGCGGAGGAGGCGATTCTGCAGGCGGTAGGGCAAGAGCCCGGTCAAGAATTGGAGGGCGAGGCGGAGGAGAGCGCAGATCGAGAGGGGAACGGCGACGACGCTGGGAAGGAAGATAGTGGGTGTAAAGATCTGGTCCTGGTAGAGGACCCTGTCCTGGTCGAGGATCCAGAGGAAGGTACCTGTACTTCTCTGGCGGTCGCATGCAAGAACTTGTTCCGTCCATTGTTACGCAAGAAACTTTTCTATGCTGTTATTTGGCTCTATTAGCTGACTGTTGGTAGTGTTCAGCTGTAAGATGCAATAATACAATAGAAGTTCTATGGTTTTTTTGCATAGGAATAGTTGCAGAAGAAACAGTATAGCTGGTTTCGGATGGTGCTAATTTTTACTTTAGCAATTAACTATACAAAGGATGCTTTGTTGTACAAGGACAAATAGTGTCTCTTCAGTTTTTCCACGCTGTATATACTATATAATACTCCCTCCGGCCCATAATGTAAGACGTTTTTCTACACTACAATAGTGTCAAAAAACATCTTACATTATGGGACGGACGGAGTACGTTGTTCATCTAACTACGCACATAGGGGTGCCTTTCTTTTTTGCTAGTTATTTTGGGATTTAGTTTTTTTTTTCTTCATGGCTGTTTGAAGAGATTTATTTAGTTGCTAAGAAGAAAGAAATGACATAAAGCTTTAGGGGTTTCTTGTTAGTCAGATATTTTATTTTCCAGTTTATAGTCAGGCATTCTTTTTATTGCTTCCTGTCGTTCTTAACTCCTTTGCATTGTACATTGACTTACACTTTAGCAAGAAACTGTATGTTTTCAGGATTCCGCTACAAATCTGACGTCGGGTTCATTAAGCATGGCAAATCTGATTTATTCATTGTTATGCTAGCTTTTCTTAATACTGACAATGCACAAAACATTAGATTTTGGGTTTACCATTTCTTAGCTGTCACTGTTGTCTTTATGTACAAGGCTGAGCTATGTAAGTGTCGAGTAGATTTCTGTACTGCACATAATACTTACTTGAGCCCATTGATTTGTTTGTATTTGTTTGGTTGACAGCGGTAGCAACTGCAGCATTTCAGGAAGAAATGAGAGCGCTTTTGGCGTCTGTCCCTGAAGGTGCCGGGGCATCATTTACTGCGATGCAGCTGCAGGAGCTAGAGCAGCAGTCTCGGGTATACCAGTATATGGCTGCCCGTGTGCCTGTGCCTACCCATCTCGTCTTCCCCATCTGGAAGAGTGTTACCGGTGCATCCTCTGAAGGCGCGCAGAATTACCCTACATGTATGCCCTTGTAATCTGTGTCATCGTTGATATGTTCCTTGATGTCAGAATTTATTGAATATTTGGTAGATATCAGAAAATATTCATGTTAGTTAATTGCGGTATCTAGGGCAGTGCAGTAAGGTCCTTGGATGTCATATCTAGTTGGTTTTATGGCAAATAAAAAGCTCCAACGACATGCAATAGCTGTTGAAATGAAGGGAATGATCAAGAACCCCCTGAAAAGTTTGACACTTCTTATTCATTTATTTTTCAGAGCTATTTGAGGCTTTCTAACTGATTTGTATTGCTGGACTGGGCAGTGATGGGATTGGCAACACTCTGCTTGGACTTTGGGAAGAGCCCAGAACCAGAACCAGGAAGGTGCCGGCGAACAGATGGAAAAAAGTGGCGGTGCTGGAGAAAAACAATCCCAAACGAGAAATATTGTGAACGCCATATGCACCGTGGTCGCAAGCGTCCTGTACAGGTTATTGTTGAGGATGACGAGCCTGATTCCGCATCAGGGTCAAAATCATCATCTGGCAAAGTCACTGAAGGAGGCAAGAAGACTGACGACAAGAGTTCAAGTAGCAAGAAGCTTGCAGTGGCAGCACCAGCTGCTGTGGAGTTTACATGATTGATGATGTAGCATTTGGAAGCTGCAAGAAGAGCGTAACGGCCATGGCAATTAGACTACCGTTATTGTAATCCTCAAAAGACTTTAGTGTTGTCTAGCTATAACCTCATTAAGCAAGCAAAATGTCTTGTCGGAAGAAGCCACAAAAACCCCTGTTTAGCTGTCACTGAATTTTTCAGTTTAGGTGTATAGTTTGAATTAGCTTGGTCGTGCCTTCGGCCTTTAGGCAGGTGATGCGGCATAATTGGATAAGTCTTCCCTCATTGATAAGTCGCATTGTGACTCAAGAAACTGGTGGATGAATCTGCAGAGAGTAGATACTATTTGGTGTGTGCTTTTATTGGCCTTCACAATTGTGTTGTTTGTCAGTTGCATAACAATTGGAAGATCAATATAATTTTAGACCCTATGGAGATTCAGTTACGAGACTACATGTCTTTAATTTCAACATGCTATTTGTTAATGCAAGTTCTAACAACCTGAGGCGCTCTGATATGATTTGAATGCGTGTGTGATGTAATGATGTGGTAATGGATATTGCTAAGGATGTTTTGATGCTTCCACTGATTGGTATTTGGTCTATCATTGGATAATTTATGGGTACTAATCAAATGACGGTGGAGCCATTTGGATTTCAGTTTGCATGGTTGAATTCCTCGGAGGCTTTCTTATATTAATAATCAAATGATATGATAGCATTCTTTTTCTTAGATTGATCGCTAGAGTTAATGGAATCATCGGGATCTATTTCTTAGATTTCTTTCTTAGTTGATTTCCAGGTAATGACGCCTGATTTGATTTCCAAATGGCCGCGTGGGGCGAGACATGTGGTTGCGTTGGAAGATTTCTTTTTTTTTTTTTTTTGATAGGGGCCTCGACAATCCAGCGAAGAGAAAGGCGGTTAGAGATTTCCTAGGTTCGGTGAAGGTGAATTTAGTGCGTCGGCAAGAAACCAAACTGGATGTAATTGATCTGTTTATTGTAATGCAATGCCTCGGACCACCTTTTGATGGTTTTGCGTACTTACCGGCCGTGGATACACAAGGTGGAGTCCTAATCGCTTGGGATAGCTTGGAGTCCTCCCTTGACAACATACAGGCTAATGCGAATTTTGTCACTGGCCTAGTGCACTCGAAAGTCGCAAAACCGTGGTGGATTACTGCAGTCCATGGACCACAGGGAGATGAGCTTAAGACACAATTTCTGAAGAATTTACAAATGAGGCGCACCCTTTGTCAGGGGCCTTGGATGGTGGTGGGCCACTTTAACATGATCCTTCGGGCTTCGGAGAAGAACAACACTAACCTCAACCGAGCAATGATGAGCAAATTCAGAAGCTTTGTAGACGAACATGAACCGAAAGAGATGTATATGCACGGAAGACGTTTCACTTGGTCTAACGAGCGCGAGCCCCCCACCCTGACCAAGATCGACAAAGTTCTTATCTCGGTAGACTAGGAGCTTGAGAATGCGGAGTATCAGGCACTGTCTACTGGTGTTTCCGATCACGCGCCGCTGCACCTTTCCACTAGCATGGGTTTCTGCCCCAAAAGGATATTCGAGTTTGAACTGTTCCGGACAAAGCTTGACGGGTTTGAAGACGCGGTTCGGGAAACCTGGACATGTGATCCGGAGATTGTTGACCCCTACAAGAGGATGGATGCGTTGCTAAGGAACACCGCTTGTTCGTTACAGTCTTGGGGGCAAAGAAAAATCGGCAATGTCAAGCTGCTCATGGGGGTGGCGACTTGGGTCATTTAAAAACTAGATATTGCGTAGGCGGACAGTTTGCTGAATGATCTCGAGAGCTGGTTGCGGCGCACCTTAAAGCATGCCCTGCTCGGCATGGCTGCGCTGGAACGGACCATCGAGCACCAACGGTCGAGACTTAAATGGATTAAAGAAGGAGACGCTAATACCAACCTATTCCAAGATGTAGCAAATGGCAGAAGATCAAAAAACTTCATTGCGCACGTCAAGTGTGGCGATGAGGTGATTACTGACCAGGCGAGGAAGGAAGAGGTCTTCTCGCAAGCGTATGAGCACCTCCTTGGGACTGCCCAGGCAAGAGACTATGCGCTAGATCTACAATACTGTCGGCGTTCTAGGAACGTGGGTCCCCAGACTTGCCTGCCTGCGGCCTGCGGCGTAGCTCAGAGGGGGCCCAGCACGGCCCATCTTCATCAACACAAGCTCAAGACCCTCGCAAGGGGCCAAGCCTCGCGGGGCGGACGACAAGGAGCTTCCTCAGGCACGGCCTCGTCAGGCTGGCTCACGAGGAGGCGGAGAGTTCAAGGCGGGGTACCTCACGAGGTGCCCATGACGCAAGCCATGACGACCAAGGGCGCCAGCCGGGCGCCAGCCCGCGCAGTGTCCTTCTTTCCTCTTTGGTGCAAGGGGAGCAAGCGCAGGCGAGGGCATCAAGCAAAGGCATTCATTTCGGTGCAACAAGACCAAGACCAGTCCAACGGCAGGATGGAGGTCACCGTGGAGCCCAAATCGGCGTCACTACCAGAGCCTTTGACAGGCGAGGACCAACTTTATTCAGGATAAGTGTACTAGATGTTCCCCTTCAAATTGGCCAATTGTTGGCGCCCTTCCCGCTCAATATTTGGGAAGAGGCCCAGGGCCTTCGCCTATAAATAGGACTAGCCACCCACAAGGTAGAGGCATCTGGATGGGCATCTGGATGAGGATCAGGATAGAAATCTGGAGATAAGATAGGCAGCTAGAATCAACCCCTCCAAAGGGACAACACCACCGCAAGAACAGACCCTCGCGAGACTGTTCTTCCTTGTATTGTTCATCATCAGCCCAAGAGGCAATCCACCACGCCACACATTGGAGTAGGGTATTACACCACAATGATGGCCTGAACCAGTATAAACCATGTGTCTCTTGCGTTGTTCTTCTCGTAGTTTAGATCTTAGCGATTCGGTGAGGAACAGGTAGGTAGAAGGCGAAACCTCCGCGCGCACCCCAGTGTTCGAACCTCAAGGGTCTGCCGGAACCCTAAATCAGACATTTGGGGCGCCAGGTAGGGGTGCTCTGGAATTCGTCTTCCGTCGCCCTATTCTTCTCCGACCGTCACGACCATGTCTGACGCACGCCGGGTTCGCGCCGAGCGCCAAGCCGCCCTCGCTTCCCGCGTCGCCCAGACGGCTCCCGTCGGCGGGCGCCCTCGTCGTTCCCCGTCATTTGCCGTCAACACCTCCACCGGCCCGGCGGGGAACGAGCAGCAAGCATCGTCCCAGCACCCGTCCATGAGGCAAGACGGCCGCACCACCACGCCCTCGCTCACCCCCGCTGGTTCTTCGTCCCGCGCGTCCCGCGCGGCCATGGAGGCTTGAGCTGCGCTCATCGCGGCAAACGAGCTCATGCGCTACCGCCCCATCGACGACGTCTACGAAGAATGGCTCGGCCGAGTCGTCGAACTCGTCCGCGCCGCTAGGGGCTCCGCCGCGCCATCTTTCTCACTGCACCGCGCCCCGCCATGCGCGGCCAATGAAGCTCCTGGGGCGTCTCAGCCGCCTCCCCCTCAAGAAGGCGCCCTGGCTCCGAGGCGCGCGGCTCCTGGGCGGAACCCGCCCCGTCAGGAACCAGCGCGGCAGGAGAAGAGCTGCCAAGAGGTCCCTCGCCCTCGAGAAGCTGCTCGAGCGCTCCCTGCTCCGGCTCGTCCCGACCACGCTCCTGCTCCAGCACGTCAAGACCCTGCGCTGCACCCAGCTGCGGCGCACGGGGACCCGCAGGACCGAGCCTTCGTCCTCCAAGGCCTCATGTGGCCACAGCGGGCTGCTGCGCCTTCACCACCGAGCTACGCACCGTCGCGTGCCTGGCAAGTTCAAGCCGGACCTGCCTCCTCACTACGACGGCACGGCTGACCCTGCAGAGTTCCTCCAGCTCTACGAGCTGGGCATCGAGGCTGCCAACGGAGACGAGAAGATCATGGCGAACTGGTTTCCCATGGCTCTCAAGGACGGGGCCCGCACCTAGCTTCTGAACCTGTCCCCAGGCACGATCTCCTCCTGGGACGAGATGCGCACCCGCTTCATCGCCAACTTCCAGGGTACTCGCGACCGGCCACCCGCCGTGAGCAACATGCGCCGCATCAAGCAGCAACCAGGGGAAACCCTGCAGAAGTACATCCAGCGTTTCAACAATGCGCGCCTCAAGATTCCCAAGATGACCGAGGAGGCCATCATCTCAGCCTTCTTTGACGGCGTGCGCGACGTCAAAATGAAGGAGGAGCTCGCAATGCATGAAGATCTATGCACTTCCTTGGAGCTGTTCAACCTGGCGACCAAGTGCGCCAGGGCTGAAGAAGGGCGTCTCTCCCTCCTCGAGTTGCCTGCCGCAGACCCTGAAGAGAAGAAGCCCAAGGCCAAGGACGTGCAGCGCAAGGGGGCTGCCGTGCTCGCGGCAGAACCAGACACCAAGCGGGGCAGAGATCAGCCCGAATCCTCCAAGGGCAGTCAGTACTGCATGTACCACGACCTCCACACCCATAACACCAATGAATGCCAAGAGCTCCGGGCCGTGCGTGAAGGACGGACTGGCCGGCGTCCCGACCGTAGTGACCGGGGCTACGGACTAGGAGGAGGAAGGAACGCAGGACGCTGGGAAGACCGCGGCCCACGTCAAGGGTGGCGCGACCAACCTCGCGAGGATCGCTGGCAGGACCCACCTCGCCAGGGAGGTTGGAGGGATCAGCCTCGCGAGTATCGCCCGCAAGGTAACGCAGGCCTCCCTCCGCTACCGCCGCAGCCAAGGAGAAATGAGGACCGTCATCAGGACGAGGGGGCTGGGGGCTTCCAGGAACCACGTGCGATCGCCTGCATCCTAGGCGGAGCCCAAGCCCCAGCCTCTCAGTGCATCTTCAAGCAGTTCGCCTGTGAAGTGAATGCAGTCCTCCCCAAGCTCGAGGCCACGCACCCTCTCAGGTGGTCGGCGTGTGCCATCACGTTCAGCTCAGCGGATCAGCTCAAGTGCACGGCCACAGC